TATTTGAGAGATCCATCAATGGAAGGGGATTGTATCCATATATATATAAAGCAAAAGGCAGAGAATGGTGAAACATTCAAAATACCAGAAAATGCCCTTGGTTAATACAAACATTAAGAATTGAAATTATTAATTATGTGAGGATAATATGGTAAATTTACACTTTTTCATATTAAAAAATTTTAAAATTAAAAGAAAAATCAGATAATGGATCCTCTTTTTATAAAACACAACTACCCATTATCTTTTTTAATTCTAAAATAAATTTAATTTTTTCTTTTAAAAAGCCTCTTGCAGGCGCGGAAGCGCATGCAGAGAGGCTAGTATATATTAATTACGAAAGGTTTGTGGAGAAATTAGTAATTCCATATTTGAAGGACTGAGTGAGTGAAATCTAAATAATGCAATAAAAAAAATACTAAAAGAAAAAGAATAGAAAAAACAAAATAACGCAAAGTCGGTTAATCTAGTTGTTTAAGACGGTATGTCCCCCCTCTTGTACTCAAGTTTTTTTTAATTTATTTTAATAAATTGGTCTCTTGCACTCGAGTTTGATCCCTCTTCTTACATTATAATAACTATACTCTCCGCACGCGCTTTCGCTCATGGGAGAAGTTTAAAAAAAAAAATATTTAAATTTATTTTAGAATTAAAAAAGATAATGGATAGTTGTGTTTCATAAAAATAAGATCAATTATCTGATTTTTCTTTTAATTTAAATTTTTTTAATATAAAAAAATATGAATTTACCATATTATCCTCATCTAATTAATAAAAAAAGAGTGGGAAATCAGTACTCTTAAAATATCACCAACATCAACCAAGGTGGTTGGTGTGAGTGGTTCGACACTCTCATTCCTTAAGAGAGGTCAGGGGTTCGATCCTTGCTCTCGTACGGAGTCACCACTTTGGCCAACACTTTACCCCTTATGGGCCGACCCGGTGTGAGTGGGGATTAGTCTGGGTTGTGGTTAATGCTTAAAGGTGCCACCCATAGTTGGGGCCCATCCAGGACCACCTCATGGTTCAGAACAAAAAAAAAAAAATATCACCAACATCAAAAAGAAAAGAAAAAAAATAATGGAAAAGCGAGGTAAATATGTAAATATTGGGTGAAGTAAGAATGGAAATAAAAAACAAGTTGGAGAAGAAAGACGGAGAGAAAGAAGGAAAGAAATACAATGATGCAGATGGGCGAAAGAGTGTCGTGGTGTTGGGCGCTGATAGTATTATTGGCACTAGATTGTAGTGGTGTTGTGTATTCTTCGTCGTCGTCGTCGTCGTCTTGGACTGTAGATGGGAAGGTGTTGGAGCTGGACGACTCCAACTTCGATTCGGCCATTTCAGCCCTGGACTTGGTCTTGGTTGATTTCTACGCCCCATGGTGCGGCCACTGCAAGCGCCTCTCTCCTCAGGTCTCTCTCTGGCTTTTCTGTGTAAAATTTTCAACAATGATTTAAGATCAATCCATCCATCCATCCATCCATTCATGTTAATTAGTTTTTTTTCCGGTTGAAATCCATGTTATTTTGATAATTAAAAACAACTCTTAATCTGAACATTACCAACAGCCAAACCACTAGTTTTATTTATTTTTAATGCAAGCAATTACCAAGGTAATTCGAATATGACACTACTGCACTGCAAGTCAATGCCCTTTGTCACTGGGCTAGACCTCGTCTGCCCCAACCCACTAATTTTGTTGCTTCTTTTGTTTTCTTATTTAATTTTTGGCATTTTGTAGTTGGATGAAGCTGCTCCCTTGCTTGCTGACTTGAAACAGCCAATAGTGATAGCAAAACTTAATGCTGACAAGTTTACCTCTCTAGCTCGAAAATATGAAATTGAGTATGCTCTTTTTTTCCCCCCTTAAATTACAGTATTTTCATTTCCAGTTGAATATTGTTGATTTTTGTTTGTTTTGATATAGTGCATATCCTACCCTGAAGCTCTTTATGCATGGCGTCCCCATAGAATATAATGGACCCAGGAAAGCAGATTCGCTTGTTCGTTATCTGAAAAAGTTTGCGGCTCCTGATGTTTCTATACTTGATTCAGACTCTGCTGTTAGCGACTTTGTCCAAGCAGCTGGAACTTACTTTCCTATATACATTGGTTTTGGCTTGAATGAGTCATTGATATCAAAGTTAGCTATAAAGTACAAAAAGAAGGCCTGGTTTTCAGTTGCAAAGGATTTCTCTGAGGATGTAATGGTATTGTATGATTTTGACAAAGTTCCAGCTTTGGCATCCCTTCATCCAACTTACAATGAGCACAACATCTTCTATGGCCCCTATGAAGGTTAGTTGGGTTTGGTTTATCTGTCCTAGTTCACCGCTAAATACATCAAAGTGTGTATTCAGTACATTTTAGTTAACGTGGCCTTTCTCGAGTCATAATGACACATCACATTGCATATTTACGGGTTGGTGTTGGACATCTCATTTCCTTGATTTCTTCAACTTGCATTGCTTATAGGATCCGTCTTTTCATTAGGAAGCATCTATTTAGACGTAAAGTCATTGATGCAGTTGAGTAGGCATTTAGGAGAGTGCTTTTCATGCCATCTTGTTTGCATCCTATTATTGCATTGTGACTTTTATGCTTGAGATGTGCACAAAAGCCCAATTTTTGTGAAGTCCTTTGAAATAAAAATAAGGGATGCAGCTTCTCTTTAAAAATCACAGAGGTAATGTGACTCTAATATTATTTCCCACTACTCAGAGAGTCGAATATAAATTTGTTTAATGTTTTTATTTTGCCTCAATGATCCATTATAAATATTGCTTCTTGTTGTGAAATGCATTCGAATGAATCGATTATCTTTTTGTATGCCTGCTTTATTTATTTCTAGTAGAAGTGAACCTATTTGCTTATGCTTGTTCTTCATAATGGACCGAGCTTTATGGTGCATGCTTAGCTATGAGATGATAGTTATCAGTCTTTTAAGAGTTAGAGACATGGTGAGTTTGAAGTTGTTGCCCCTGAATCATAGATCTTTATCCAAATTCAAGCTGAGCTTGACTGTAATGCTAATCAACTGAACTGACCTTAATGACCGTAGTAATCAAACATATCCCTGTCTTTAGATGTCTTACTGTTTATCGTATGACACAATTTCTTATGGTTGGAATAAGAATTCTGCATTCCAACAAGTTATAAAATCCATTCTTTATTTTCTTCTATCATGAGTAAATTTTTCATCTTTATGTGCTTTACCTATTTGTTTTGAAAATGCAGAGGAGTTTTTGGAAGAGTTTATAAGACACAGTTTGTTCCCTTTGGCCATGCCCATAAATTATGAGACATTAAAATTGTTGAACGATGATGAAAGGAAAATTGTTTTGACAATTGTGGAGGATGAGGATGAAGAGAAATCAAAGAAACTGATCAAGATTTTGAAATCAGCTGCATCTGCAAATCGGGATTTTGTCTTTGGTTATGTTGGGATCAAACAGTGGGAAGACTTTGCTGATACATTTGGAGCCAACAAGAAGACAAGACTTCCAAAAATGGTTGTTTGGGATCGAATGGAGGAGTACTTTACTGTAAGTGATTGGTTATTAGAAATTCAGATTTCTTTTAGATCTCCATAATAAATTTAGTTTTGAAAATGGTATATGGTTGATTGTTTATTTTATTTTATTTTATTTTTTATATTTGTTCTGGTGATTACATGTTTCCTAACTTAGAGTGAAATAGGTTGTGACTGTGGCGCAGCATGACATTCTTTATCTAATTTAATTTCTATTGGAAAAGAAACTGTTATTTATAAGGCATGTATCCTTGCCTAGATCAATTCGTTTACCATGCAGGTGATTAAACTGAGAAAGCAGTAAAATAATTAAGCGAGCTAGAGATAAGAAGATGAAGAGCATACCACTCAAGGATAACACTGTAAAACGAACAATGCTAGCACAAAGGGTTTTTTGTCCGACTCTTCCAAACTTAAAAGCAATTCATTAGGACAATATAGAGATTAGAAGATCAAGAGCATACCATCAAGGAGACACAGAAAAAGAGACAATGTCAGCAAAGAGGTTGCTTTGTCTATGCCTTCCAAATTTGGGTTTGCTTCCAGATTAGAAACGAGATTGTTTACTGACCTGTGTAGAGATAATGGATGACTTATGAAATGCACACAGTTACTATCATAGTAGCTGGCTGCACGTATGATTGAGATAATCTCTGATGACCTGTAGAGCCTTTCCCTTCTTATCTTACCTGTGAGCTTGAGTATCATACATTACTAATAGGAAAAACTGAGATGGGAGCTATAGCTTTGTAATGTTTGACCCTCAAGCATGGAATCATATGGGATATAAGTAATACCTTAAAAAAAAATTTCTTTTGTGGCTAGGTCAACTTATGAGGGGTGCCAGCTGGGTTTGAACCTGCGCTGGGCCCAACCAGTCATCGATACATCACCAAACTAATCCTCTAGGGATCATGATATAGGTTACTCAATTGTTCAGTTGCCTCTCAAGTTACCTAAAAGAATGCAGTAACAAAAATGTAGACATGTTTTCCTTTGTAATTTTTTCAGGTCACCTGATAATATTTCATGTTACGTTTGCCACTTGAAGATTTCCTTGTTTTTCTTACTTCTCTTGTATTTTTGACACTTTTGCATGATCAAAATTCAAAACAGTTGACATTATTTTGTAAAATAGGTTAATGGTTCAGAAAGCATTGATGAGGAAGATCAGGCATCTCAAGTCTCACAGTTCCTGGAAGGATATAAGGAAGGAAGAATAATAAAGGAAAGAATTGGTGGTCCATCGTTTATGGGCTTTATGTCTTCATTTATTGGGATTGGAACTGTATACATAATTGGTTTTATGGTTGTGGTAATGATGCTTATTAGATCAATCAATAAAGGAGATGATGAACATCCTGCGGTCGCTACTGGCGACCAGATTGAACATGCTAGCAGTGAGGCCGAAAGCAGAGAGCATAAATCTGGAGAAAAGGAAGATTAGAGTTGGGCTTCTGGACTTCTAACCAGATCTCATAGGAGTATACTGCCAAAAGAAACGAGAGTGATTTATTGAATGCAACTTTGCAGTGTGCCGAAAACAGTACGGAGTATAAACATGGATGATTTTGTAGAGACTGATGAATTCGTTTGTCACTATTATGTGTACCCCTTAGAGATTTTCAGCTTAAATCTCAGCTTTTGTGTTAATATTGCCTTGGTTAAATTCTATATGCAGTACTCTTTTGTTTTCTTGTGTGAATTTGAAGAGCACAAATTTATTTTTATTATTTACACTCGGCGTTCTTTGACTGGTCATTGCGTCGGTTCTATAATGTTGCAATAGAACCGGCAACGCCATATTGGAGTCAGCAGTGAGATTAGTGCACTTTTCCGTATGAATCCTTGTCATGGAGTTTAATGACTTATCCAGGCCTGGAATCTCAGTGATTTTGCCCGACTCACGTAGATACAGTTCTCTTATATTTGACATTTCTGAAAAATCTGGCATTTTTTTCACTGCAATGCAGTCATCTGCTTTTAAGACCTTCAAATTTGTAGGTAAATCTGGGATTGCATGAAGATTTTTGCACTTATTTAAAGACAAATCTTGAAGCTGTGAAATGCGACTGAGGCTTGGTAGGCTGCAAAAGTCATTGCTTGCAAGATCTAAATTTGCTAAGGAAATTAGGCTACCGAGACCCTTAGGGAATGCATCATCAGTTAAACTCCAGTTTGTAAGAGCTAATTCTCTTAAAGAGCTTAAACTTTGCAATGAAGGAGGCAAACGATTTGTTGATGGCCACCCTTTCACATCACATAAAGATAAAGCTTTCAGTTTCTTCAATTTTAATATGGAAGATGGAATCTGTCTGATGGCTGTGTAATCCGCTTTCAGAGTTGTCAATGATACCATGTCCCCTAAGCCATCAGCCAACTTTTCAAATCTCCGACAACCATTCAGTGTAAGAGTTTCAATAGACTTGAACTTCAAAGAAGACGAAATTGTCCACATGATTGACGAATTTGAACCAATCAGGAATTTCATAAATTCCATTCAAATAAATTCCACCAAATCCGCAACAAGTCCATCTCTGCACACCAGAAGCAGGACAGTCTTATACATGCTTGCATATATCATTACATGGGCCGCATCTGCAGCTGTGCCTCTATGTTTGTGTGTGTGTGAGAGAGAGAGAGAGAGAGAGAGACCAGTAGGATGTTGTTCCTAAAATCGGCAGTCAGATTGGTGCAGCCTTCCATATGAATCCTCATGGAGTTTAATGGCTTATCCAAGCCTGGAACCTCAGTCAGTTTGAACGAATCACTTAGATACAATTCTCTCATATTCCACATTTTTGAAAAATCTGGAATTGTTTCCAATTCTGGGCAGTCATTTGCTTTCAGAACAGACAAATTGGTTGGTAAATCTGGGATTGCAAGAACATTTTCGCATGCATTTACACACAAGACTTTGAGCTTTGAAAGACCAGCGAGACTTGGTAGGCTACGAAAATTATTGGCTCGAAGAAGCAGATGTTCTAAGGACCAGATTTTGAGATGGGCGTAGTTCATACATACGAAGATGGTAATCAAGCATATTTTCGTTCATAAATTTGTCCCATACCAGACTAACACCTGTTTTCTTCACCTCCGCCTTCATCCAATTATCTGGCTCCACTATTATTTCAATCAAGACTTTATCACCGTCTTGCAATTTGAGCTCGTCATTTGATAACTGTCCCTGCCAAAGATAATAACCCTTATTTGGATAATTGGGTAAGATCCTGGCGACAAGCTCATTACCCTCGGTCATGTTTTTAATGCTAATGCAAAAAGGAAGAGGAAAAATGAACGATTCTGAAGAGAAACTGAAGAACAAAGTTAACCCTTTCAAATTACGACCATCACTTTGAGGCACAGTGAAATACACAATATCATTGTCATGGACACAGTGGAACCAATCAGGAATATCATTCCCACTGAGAAAAATGCCACCATATCCACAAGAAGTCCATCCCTATACCATGTAGAGCCAAATTTCTATAAGAAATACGTTCTTATGCATGCATGTGTACATGTGCGTTGTATGTGATAGAAAGAGAAAGATGTATGTGTGTGTTTGAGAGAGAGAGAGAGAGAGAGAGGGATTGACCTGTAGGATGTTCTTCCGAAAATCGGCAGTGAGATTAGTGCACTTTTCCATATGAATCCTTGTCATGGAGTTTAATGACTTATCCAGGCCTGGAATCTCAGTGAGTTTCCCCGAATCAGGTAGATACAATTCTCTTATATTTGACATTTCTGAAAAATCTGGCATTTTTTCCAATGCAATGCAGCCATATGCTTTTAAGACTTTCAAATTTGTTGGTAAATCTGGGATTGCACGAAGATTTTTGCAGTTAATTAAAGACAAATCATGAAGCCTTGAAAGACGACTGAGGCTTGGTAGGCTGCAAAAGTCATTGGTTGCAAGATTTAAATTTTCTAAGTAAATTAGGCTACCGAGATCCTTGGGGAACGCATCATCAGTTAAACGCCAGCTTGCAAGAGCTAATGCTCTTAAAGAGCTTAAACTTTGCAATGAAGGAGGCAAAAGAGTTGTTGATGGCGACCCACCCACATGACATAAAGATAAATCTTTCAGTTTCTTCAATTGTAATATGGAAGATGGAATTTGTCTGATGGCTGTGGAATCCGCTTTCAGAGTTGTCAATGATACCATGTCCCCTAAGCCCTCAGCCAACTTTTCAAAACTTGTACAACCATTGAGCAGAAGAGTTTCAATAGACTTGGATTTATAGAAATTCAGTGGGAGATCCTTTAGCATTCCGCAGAATCCAAGATTTACCAAAGAAAGTCTTCCAAGATCCCCGATGGATGAGTGAACCTCAGACAACCTCCGACAGGATTCCAATATCAATTCCTCGAGATTTGGGAGTTTTGAAAAGTCTGGTGATTTTGCTAGCCTATAGGAACGACTGAGATTAAGGATTTTCAAATTCTGATGCAACTGTTACACAAAAACAAAATTAGAATGGAAATTAAAATCCAAAAGGAAGGTCTCTGATACAGAAATTAAACCAAAATGAAGAGAAGGTGAACTATAATATATGTATAGAACCAGAAGGAAAGAACCAACAACAACTAGGTTGAGATTATTATACCTTGCAATCCTTCCAAACTATTTTGAGTTTGCTATGGTGCAGGTCTAAAGCAACTAGTTTTGGTTGCATAGGAAAGTCATCTGGTATGGACTCTAAAGGAAAATAATGCCAGCACAACCATATTAACTTTTTGGGAAAATCTTTGTACTCTCCAGTGAGCTCTACGTTGCTGAGGTGAAGTAACCTCAGTTTTTTCATGTTGGTAAATGCTTGTGCACTGAATCTAGCCAAATCTAGATCCGAATGTAGATACGAATCTACATCCAAATCCAAATGTAGAGCAACTCCTTCAATTTCTTCAGTTCCCTGTTAACAAAAGATACCGAGTTAGAAAAATGATTTACAAACATGAAAATCCGTGTATGTATTAACCAAAAGGTATAATTAATAGTATTGGACCATGTTACGCCCTATAGTTTGTGTTTGCAATCAAAGCGCATATTTTTTGTTGGTTTGCCTAATTGAGCTTTGATCTTAATATAATATAAGAAATGGCAACATGGTCTAGCAAAGTGAAAAATGGTCTCATGTTCAAATTCATATGGCACCTTGGTAGTGTGGACGTGTGAGAACCCCATCTTTTACTTTGGTTTAGACTATTGCTTGTACTAAACAAAAAAAATAAAGAAATGAAAAAGGACATTTTAATTTATTATAGACACAGGATATATATGCTTCTCTTGCATGATGCATTCTAAAACTTTACTTGGAAAGTACTTACAGATTCATCGCTCAATAAATCTGTTACGTCTTCATGTTTCCACAATCTACTAAATTTTTCAGGGTGACCGCGGGCATTTTCACGAACGATCACTCTTCCCATGTCTCGAAGCAAATCATGCATCATCAGCTTGTTTTGCTCACTAACAGTTACAAGGCACCGTTCAATGAGGACACTGATTCCGATCGTTGCAGAAAAGCCACATCCATCTAATATTTGTGTGACATAGTCCCTGTCCATTCCAATAAAGAAACAAGATATATCAAGGAATATCTCTCTGTTTGTATGATCAGGTAGCCCGTCAAAGCTTATTCTGAGTATGTTTTGAATATCTCCATCAGGACTTCTTTCCAATTTCTCCAAATGGCTTTCCCACTCCGCTATGGGTCTTTTAATCAAAAAAGACCCCACAACTTCAAGTGCTAGAGGCAAGCCTTGACAGTAACGAATTACACGGTTTGAGAGGTTGAGATATTCTTGATTAGGATAACCACTTTCGAAGGCATGCCTACTAAAGAGCTCTAGAGCTTCTTTTTCATTCATTGCTTGAGCCATATATGTGCTATCCACTCCAACTTGGTGTAGCAAATGTTGATTTCTTGTTGTTATAACAATTCTACTTCCAGGACCAAACCAATCACGAGCTCTAGCTATTGCTTTTAGTTGCTGTAGATCATCTGCATCGTCAATTATGACAAGTGCTCTTTTACAGCAAAGTCTTTCTCTTATCATATCGATCCCTTTAGCAACAGAGCCAACCTTTATGCCGTCGCTTTTCAAGATATCATTTAGAAGTTGTTCTTGCAAACCAACCAGACCATTACTGCGTTGGTTTGCAAATACTTCCCTCACGTTTGCAAGGAAACTCCTACCTTCAAAGATACGTTCAAATTTGTTATAAATGGTTTTGGCAAGCGTTGTTTTCCCAATGCCGCCCATCCCCCAAATACCAATCATGCGAACAACATCCTTAGAACCTGAATTTTCAATATCCAAGTGATTACTCAAGACCTTCACCCGAGAAGTAATTCCAACAAGGTGTTCGATGTCTAATTGGTATTTGCTGTACAACTGCTTATTAACCACCCCAAGAATTTTGTTGATAAACTTTGCTTCATGCCTGGCAATTAAACAAAGAAGCAGAACTACGAATCATTCGATGTGGAACAAACTACAAGGTTAAATTGAATCCCTAACTTAGAATGACCAAATTATTTTCTTTTTTTATACATAGTTAAGAATTTAGATATAATTAACAAATAAGATTGGGATTTAACATTATCAAATAAGAAAGAATGCATAGTTAAAACATAGTTGGAAAAACAAAAGCAAAAAGGACAGAAAACATATGGTTGTCAAGTAAGGAGATGATAATCCAAGAAACAAGAAATTAGTAATTACCCATCAGCATTTTTAAGATCTTCCCCACACAAATCTGCTGCTTGACTGAGAGCATTTCTCCATCGCAGTACCTTTTCTTTCTCATGTTTGCCCGCTTCATGTTTCTCAAATGCTTGTGCAAAACTACCAGTTTGTTTCCGGACATCTGAAGCATCAACATTATAGAACAATGGAATAACCTGTTGCCCCAATCTTTCTCTACACTCCATGATCTTCACCAGCTCGTCAAGACACCAAGCGGAATCGGCATAACTCTTCGAGAAGACAATTATGGAGATCATGGACCCGTTGATTGCCTGCTCCAGTTGGGTTTTTATAAATTCCGCTCTTTTTAGCTCGTTGTCGTCAAGAAAGGCGCGGATTCCGGCATCAGATAATGCGGCGTGGAGGTGGCCTGTGAAGCCCTTGCGTGTGTCTTCACCTCTGAAGCTCAAGAACACTTGGTACTCCCAACGTTTTGATGAGGAGGATGGTGAGGATGAAGAGGAGGCTTTATGGGCTTTCCTGGCATCCATTAATTGATACTGGTTCAGATCAGACCAACTACAAATTGATTATTTTTTTCTGGGCAGTGGTTTGGCCTTGAGCAGCAGATGAACACATTATTGAACTTCCCAAAGTCAAGGACACGGAGAGTGGCAGAGAAAGCGTGGAAAAACAGAGTGGACAGATGGTAATTTTCTGGAAGCAACCAAAACCAGGGGTCGCTTTCTGTGGCTACACGATCTGCTGGACGGCTAAGATTGAAGGTCAGGAAAATGCAAGGAAGCTTAGGGGAAAGAGGCATGAAAAGAGAGGGAAGAGACGCGCACAATGTCCAATAAAAAAAAAGACAGAGAAAAAAAAAGAAGAAAAACACAAGTCTTGTAAAGGGAGCTGGAGGTCGCTTTCCGTGGCTTCTGGCTACACGATCTACTGGACGGCTAAGATTGTAGGTCCAGAAAGTGCACGGAGGTAGCTTTAGGGAAAGATGAATGAAAAGAGGGAAGAGACGAGCACAATGTCCAATCAAAAAAGAAAAAGAAAATAGAAGAAGAAAAACACAAGTCTGCTACTCTCAGGTCCACCTCTCCAACTTTGAAGTGGTTATCTATTCAATTTAAGGTGTTCAAAAAAACTTAGCTTGCCGCCCCAAGAACAAAGGGGGCCTGGGCTTCAAAAAAACTTCAGATATGAACCAAGCTCTACTGGCTAAAATGGGGTGGAGACTCCATCGAGGGGACCCGGGACTGTGGGCAAAAATTTTTGAAGAAAAATATATGAAGGGCCATTCTATCTTAGAGAACACTCTCCAAGGGAAAAAGGTCTGCTCCTCCACTTGGAGAGGTATTTTACATGGAGCTGAGTTACTCAGGCAAGGTATGATTTGGAGGATAGGTAACGGGGAAAGTGTTCATTTCTGGAATGATAGGTGGATCTCTAACATCCCTCTCATCCAGCATGAAGGTATCGTAAGGCCTGCCCAACTTGATTGTACAGTTTCTGAGTTCATGAAAGACGACTGGTGGGATGTTGATAAGTTGAGAACTATGCTCAGTGAGGATTTGGTCCAAAAGATTGTTAGTTACCCTATTGGTTTTGGTACTAACCTGAGGGACATTCATATATGGGACTCTACCGCTAATGGTGTGTTCACTGTCAAATCTGCTTATGATTTGTTGTTCAGAGACGTTGGTCGTTCTGATCCCTTCTGGGATGTGCTTTGGAAAATTAAAGTTCCTCATAAACTGAAAGTCTTCTTCTGGTTGGCGTACCAAGACAAAATCCTGACAAACGAACAGAGAACTAAAAGAAATTTAACCACAGACCCTTCTTGCAGCCTCTGTGGTTGGCACTCTGAATCTGCCCTCCATCTCTTCAGAGAGTGTCCTAATGCCATAAAGGTCCGGGACGCTGTCTGCACTCCTAGACAACTCTCTAACCTATCTACTACTAGTTTGCAAATCTGGCTTATGGGGAATTTGTGCTCTAAGGCTACTTGGGGGGCTGGTCTGCCTTGGTCCTCTGTGTTCTTGTTCACATGCTGGTTTATCTGGAAATGGAGGAACCATTATATATTTACTGATAAGAAGGAGTTGCCTCCTTATCCGCAAAGAATAATTCTCCACGCAATTAATGACTGGGTTGATTCTTCCATTGTACCGAGTGGAAAAAAACCCAAAGTGTTGATTTCGCTTGTTTGGGAGCTGCCTGCAAATGGCCTCTTTAAATTGAACATTGATGGCTCTAGGAAATCTCTGTCTGGAGCTGCTGGTGCGGGAGGGGTCATCCGGGACTCTATGGGAGATTGGAAGGGTGGCTTCGCTGTGAACTTGGGCAAGGGCCAGATTTTGGAAGCTGAAATGTGGGGTTTGTTCTTTGGTTTGAAGCTGGCTGTTGATAAAAGGCTTTTCCCTTTGATTGTTGAGATGGACTCTGCCATTGCCGTACACTTAGCCAATAAGGCTGCTTTTGATGAACTACATCCTCTTGCTGGATTAATTGCAAGCTGCAGAAACCTCATGAATATGTTGAATATCTGTGATGTCAATCATATTTACAGAGAGAAGAATCGCTTAGCGGACTGCCTGGCCACTTGGAGCTATAATATTGATCTGGGATTATGCGTATTTGATACTGTGCCTCCTTGGGCTGCTACAATCCTAGTGGAGGATATTGTAGGGGTTGCCCAACCCCGCTTAGTTTGTTTGTAGTTCTTTTTGTTAGGGGCGCTGCCCCTCATCCTTTTACCAAAAAAAAAAAAGGTGTTCACGGGTCAGGTCGGGTCGGCTATGGGCCCAAACCGTATGCCGAACTGGGTCATGTCGGCAAGCTTCAAAGTGCTTCATGACCCTATCCGGAAATCAGATACTGTCGTTGCAGATTTTGGCTAGAGTGCAATTGGGCGAGTTGCTCCTGTTGACTCTGGTTTCTGGTGGATTATACTGCTCCGTGCATATACAAAGTCAACGGGAGATTTGACTCTGGCAGAAACTGAAGATTGTCAAAAGGGAATGAGGCTTATATTGACTCTTGTTTGATGAAGAAGTTTTATTGTTAACTGATGATATAAGAAGTAGCTTGAGAAGCCCTATAATATAAGGCTTTCATAAGGTCATTAAACTTCAAATTTCTGGCCCTAATCATTTTACTATTTCATAAAGTGTTTCCTACAAGGCTTTCGTAAGTTCTCTGTTTAAATGTGGTTGGATTTCAATGAAGTTTGTAATTAGTTAATCTTGTTCTATTTCTACTTATTAGCATATTTCCTCATGTTCCTTAAGAAACTAAGGCACACAAGGGCACTTGAGTAAAGGATGGGTAATGCCTTATCCACTGACATTCATGGACGGGTAATCTGATATTCTCCATCAGAGTCATGTGGCTTTTTGTTATGTTTTTCTTTCGGCCGTAAGCTTTTATTCTGATTATGTGCATTTTGTTGAATATTTGCAGAAAATGTTCTGCAATTTCCCAGCACCTATTCAAAACATGCTTCCTTAGTCCACGTATATGTGAATTGTGAACTCCAATCAACCTTTGAAATCTTCAATTACAGATTACTTCCTAATCATTCAGATTTCTCAGAAAGACACCACTTCAACTAAGCAATGTTTCATCTATATCCACAATTATGTTATGATACATCCTTGCTAGCCACCTAAGGAAACAAACCTGGAAAGAATCCTTAAGAGCATCTCCATGCCACTGGCCATACCAAAACATTCTTGTTTCCCTTCCCCCTCCTTTAAAACTGAGAACTGAGACAAACACTTTACCTTTTTCTACTATCTTTGCATAAATCCCACCCGTAATAGCATCAAATAGGATAAGTAGTCCCAATAGATGAAGTTTGAGAAGCTCATATGGGAATTTTTATGGCAAGGCCAAGGAGAGGGGAAATAAGTGCAGTTGGTGAAGTGGGAGTTAGTGTCAAAATCCAGGGGTAAAGTAGGTTTAGTGGTTGGAAATTTGGTTAAGAGGAATGTAGAGCCATCTCTGTCCAATATGTACAAGCCTAAGTGCTTAGTTCAGCTTTATGCAGAACTGATTTTAACTAAAAGCATACAAAATACCTTAATTCATTTGGATTAGTTAGGTTGCACAATCTGTAAAAACTTTCGAACACCTCTAACCATTTTGTTCCCTTTTATAAATGAAGGTTCATAAAATCCTTAAGACCGAGGTTCAGAGATACATTTCATTGGCATATTCAATTCTTTGGAAAGAAAAAAGATTCTGCCTTGTATGAGTGATACTGCATGAGTACTTATTGCAACTTTGAACTTTAGTTGATGGAGTTGGGAATTGGGGTTCATATCCTGTGAGTCTGAGTACGTTGTTGGAGTTTGATAATTCTTGTTCCTTCCTAGCACGCTTATGTTTTTCTTTTTTTGGAGTTGGGAATTGGGGTTCATATTCTTTTTTTGTTATGTTTTTCTTTCGGCCTTAAGCTTTTATTCTGATTATGTGCATTTTGTTGAATATTTGCAGAAATGTTCTGCAATTTCCTAGCGCCTATTCAAAACATCCTTCCTTAGTCCACGTATATGTGAATTGTGAACTCCAATCAACCTTTGAAATCTTCAATTACAGTTTACTTCCCAATCATTCAGATTTCTCAGAAAGACACCACTTCAACTAAGCAATGTTTCGTCTATATCCATATAAGCAGAGCTATGGAAAGTTGACACTGATGAAGAGCATACCACTCAAGGATAACACCGTACAACAAACAATGTTAGCACAAAGGGTTTTTTGTCCGACTCTTCCTAACTTAAAAGCAATTCATTAGGACAATATAGAGATTAGAAGATCAAGAGCATACCATCAAGGAGACACAGAAAAAGAGACAATGTCAGCAAAGAGGTTGCTTTGTCTGTGCCTTCCAAATTTGGGTTTGCTTCCAGATTAGAAACGAGATTGTTCACTGGCCTGTGTAGAGACAATGGATGACTTATGCCTGCACGTATGATTTAGATAATCTCTCATGACCTGTGAGCTTGAGTATCATACATTACTAATAGGAAAAACTGAGATGGGAGCTATAGCTTTGTAATGTCTGACCCACAAGCATGGAATCATATGGGATATAAGTAGTACTTTTTTTAAAAAATTTCTTTTGTGGCTAGGTCCACTTATGAGTGGTGCCGGCTGGGTTTGAACCTGCGCTGGGCCCAACCAGTCATCGATACATCACCAAACTAATCCTCTAGGGATCATGATATAGGTTACTCAATTGTTCAGTTGCCTCTCAAGTTACCTAAAAGAATGCAGTAACAAAAATGTAGACATGTTTTCCTTTGTAATTTTTTCAGGTCACCTGATAATATTTCATGTTACGTTTGCCACTTGAAGATTTCCTTGTTTTTCTTACTTCTCTTGTATTTTTGACACTTTTGCATGATCAAAATTCAAAACAGTTGACATTATTTTGTAAAATAGGTTAATGGTTCAGAAAGCATTGATGAGGAAGATCAGGCATCTCAAGTCTCACAGTTCCTGGAAGGATATAAGGAAGGAAGAATAATAAAGGAAAGAATTGGTGGTCCATCGTTTATGGGCTTTATGTCATCATTTA